TGTGTGTGTGTGCGTGCGCGTGCAGTGTTTCCTCTGACCTCTCCGTGTGTGCTGAGTAAGGAGGGAGGAAGCTCCTTGTTATCATCACTCATTTCCTCTTCTCTCCCTCCGCTCTCTCTCTCTCTCTGCCATCCTCTCCTCTTCCTATCCACTCAGCTAAAATCTCTCCATCGTTCCCTTCCTCTACTCCAGCTGTGAACGGAGTCTGTTTTTGAAGCCGCAGGTGAACGTTTCGCGTCCCCTCAGTTTCCAGGTGTACAGACACGTTCACTGCGCGAAATAGAAAATACATGCGTCTGATGTAACAAGCTTCAGTCGTTTCCTTCAGTAAGTCATCACAAACATTTCCAGTCAGTGTTGGTCAGTGCTTTGAGGTCGTAGCTCGTGAAAGTCCAATAAAGCTGTGTGAGTGTTATAAAGTTGCGACACACTCTGCACATGTGATCCAGTAACTGTCAACTGCTACATGCAGATGAAGAAGGAACTTGTTAAGAAGATTTATAAGCGTTGGTTCCTTTCTGCACTGTGTGTTTTTGCCTTGCTGAAGGGCACTTCAGGAGAAGTTATTGCAGGAAAGAATTAAGGTCCACATTTCACCTTCCCAGTCCTTCAAACAAAAAATATACATAGCATCTTTAATCACACAAGCATAATTCCTCTGTACTGAATTGCTTCTTTGTTGGTCATCAACTGAATTACTGGATTACACTGAACTCTGATGTCGGTAGTGTAGTGTTAGTCACTCATTACTGGTCTGAAGTGGTAGTCTGTTTTCCTGGAAGGAGCCGCGACTGTTGGTGTGATGTCACATGAGCGATGATGATGATGATGATGGATCCGTTTTACCTTCAGTGTTTGTGGAGCAGCTGGCCGTTTCCTCGCTGGCAGGCAAGAAGCTCTGTGGGTCAGCAGGATGGATGACACAAGCTGCTGGCAGCTTTTTTTCTTCTTCTTCTTCTTCTTCTTCTTCTGTGGAATATGTTGAGTCTGCACAGCTACTGTACAGATGTGTCCGCTGCTGTGAAGGGCTGAAAGTTGAGATACTGTGATGGTGGAAGAATCCAGTTCAGTTACAGTTGACTTTAGAGGAAGTATGGAATAATCTGGAATAATGGGGCTTAAATGACAATGTGCATGTTAGAGCTACTGTTGAATATTTCATTCTGTGGCTGCTTTTAACTGATAAAGTTCCTCAATAATGAAGTGATACAAGACCTCTAGAAATGTATTCTTTCATTATAGAAAATGCACCAAAACAGACAAATGTCCTTAAACAGTAGTAGTGTAGGGACGAAAACAAATATAAAGTAAATCATTTAAAATTCTTGAGTGTACTGCACTCTTTATACCAATAATTATTCATATTGAATATCACTTCAATTTCTATTACTTTATTTAAAAACTCGTTGCCTGGTTACACTTTTCTTGCCTCACAAAGAGTGACATTTGTGTGTGTGTGTGTGTGTGTGTGTGTGTACACAGTCAGGACCAGCCAGTCTACCTGCTGAAGACATCAGCGCCAACTCGAATGGACCCAAACAGGATTCACTGTTTGATGACGATCCAGAGGACCTGTTCGCAGGTACAGACACACACACACACAGAGCTGTAGAGTGATTCTTTTAAAACAGTTACTGCAGAGGAACAGAAGAAGGAAAGGTAAGAAGACATCGGTGGTTTTGTTGATACTTCAGCTATGTTATGGCACAACATAGATGAGCCACATTTATTCGCTGGCGTGTGTGCACTGTCCACAGCAGGTAATGACATTGCCCTCTGACACTGTAGTGGGCGCTGTGGGCAAACCAACAGCAACACAGGGAAAGGCAAATCCGGAAAACCTGCATGCGACCTCTCCTTATTAAAATCATACAACGTGTGTCTTTCCTACCTGCTGTCTCGTTCTTGTCATCTTAGTCAACACAGTGTTTTTTCCGCATTCTCCGTCTACTTGCCACATCCCTCACTCACTGCGCCTCTTTCTATTTGTCCTGTCCCAGAGGCCACGGAGGAGGTCTCGTTGGACAGTCCAGAGAGAGAAGTCCTGCTGTCTGACGGCCCGTCACCTGCCATCACGCCCATCACCCCTCCCACCTCTGTCATCACCCCTCGCATCGGCCTCGCCCACGACGACATGTTCACACACTCCTCCTTCGATGAGGTGATTGCACTCACACGCCGCTTTATATTTACACAGAGCACTTTTTGGCAGTGTTTATTGCTAAAGTATTATCCCGTTATTACGCTGATGTTACTGAGCTGTACTGTGTTTTTTGCCACGCTGGTTATTGTAGATTATTTTAGATTGAGCTCATTCTGGTGTTTGTCTTGGTTGGCAGCTTCCTCTGCTCACTGCTTGATTTTCTCCACATACAGACGGTTGACTCTCAAAACACTTTTGTTGTTCTCACTGAGAACAGAAAATTAAAAGGCAGAAAATACCCATAAATCACTTGTGGCCCAGATGGGACAATTGTTGTTCCCTTAAGTTTTTAGTTGTTAAGGTCTAAAAAAGGTTGACATTTGTTTTTTTTTTTAAACGTCATTTTTTAATTTCATGGGCTCTATATGAGACGAGACTTTATTGATCCCCAGAGGAGAAATGAACAGTTATATTCCTCACATACATATAAAGAGAGAAGGAGAACGTGTTTTTTTTTCTCTGAAGCCCTCATTAAATAGTTCACCTTGTTTAGCTGTAATCATGTACTGACAAACTTAACTGTTGGAAAAATGCCTGGAAACATGCAGTGACCCTTTGCTTTTGACTCTGTATTCCTGTTTTCTGAAGATTGAAGAAGAGGAGGGTGGCGATTCATTCGACATGCACATATCAGTGTCTGACCCTGAGAAAGTTGGTGAGTATTTGATATCACTGTAGTCCTGGAATATGGAGCAATGAGAGGTATATTGCAGCAACATGAATAAAGGGGCTTTCCAGTTGAATTTTATGATTTACCAGGGAGTCAGTGCATGTGTTTCTACGAACTGCTGCGTTTCCCATCAGCCCCCCTTTTCTTTTCACTCTTCCTCTCTTCTCCCTGATGATAATAAACATGCTGGAAGTGATATTTTACATCTGCTTTTCTCTGCTCAATCATACTGCTAGTCATCATACTTTATTCTTGTGCTTATGGTTTATTGATGCAACCACACTGAAGCTCTGAAGGAAGTGGTAGTGCCCCCTGGAGGCTCTAATGTGTTATTACACGCCACAATTCAGAAGTATTGGACTGAACAACCAACACTCTGATTTAGTGATTTGGAGTTAAAAGTGTGAAGTCTGTTTTAAGAGTTCGTAAAGAGGTACTCCACCCTAAAACATGTTTTTTCTGCTGTAAACTAAATGATATGGCTGCACTATGATGAAACACATCAGTGCTGGTGTTAAAATTGACATTCTTATCAAATGTTGTGGTTTGAAAATGGCTCACAACAGCCAGTGCTGACATAGAGTCGATCATTTGGGACTAATTTACGGCATGACATTTATATAAAAAAGTGTTAACACCCTCTTATCAGAGGAGGGGGTCCACCTTCCCCAGCGTCCACTTTAAGTGTCCTCTTAAGTGTTTAAGAGTCTGTGAAACCACTGCGATCATTTTCAAATGTATACTGATTGAGACGCATCATTCACATTTTCTTTAATTTGCTGGGAGGGAGGGAAGGAGCAGAATTGAAGGCTGTAGTTACTGTACACTTGAAACATTAATATGTGAGCTGACTGTGCAGGACATTCATTTGTATGTAAATATGAACCAGGTCACAGAGAGACTGAGACAAAACTGTTGAAACACTCAGTGATTTGATGCAAGAAAGCACATGTAACCAGTCTAACCAGTTTGATATCTGAGCTGAGTGTATTCCATGTATTTATTTGTTTAGAGCATTAATGCTGTTTAACTTGCAATGAAACACACATGACAGTGTAGTTACATTACCATAGGTCAATACTGATGAGATAATGGAGCACACTAGTCATTTCTTTTTGTGTGATTCAACTTTGTGTGTGTGTGTGTTCCAGGTGATGGGATGAATGCGTACATGGCCTACAAAGTGACAACCAAGGTGAGATTTCTTTCAAACTGTATTTCATTTTCATGTCTCTCATAGGATGATATCATCTGTCATATTGAAAATTGTACCGTAACATTCATCCGTTAACTACAGAAGGACAAGAATGTGTTGCTCTGACAGTAAACAAAAACAAAACTGGCATATTTCTGGTTCTCACCAAAAACAAAACAAAACTGGACTCTTCTGCTGTTCTTGGATCAGTACAACTACTCGGGTGAAACACAGAAGGTTTGTTCTGAGGGTGGCAACAGAGGAAAAGCTGTGTTTAGCCAAATCTAAAGGGCTTTTCCTCTGTATGGTAATGATTTTTGGATATCTCCGTCAGGTTTTCAGATTCAGCTCTTCACTGTCAGACTTGAGAGACTGCTTTATACAGTTGGATGCTAACAGTAGTATGTTAGCATCCAACTGTCTTAATGCTGAAGTGTCTTTTTTAACAACAGGGCAACACATTTTACTCCTTTGATGCATTATGTTTTGTGTATCTTGTTATATGTGCAAATAAATACAGTGAACTAAACCAAAACTAAACAGCTTCACACAGCTAGGATTAGCATGCTGCCTACAATTATTATGTGTGTAAACAGTTATTAGAGATTAAGATGATGAACTTGAGTATTTTAGATTTACCGTGTTAACATCCTCTGTTAAAATCAAGTATAAATAATAACATTGGCTATGTTACATTTAGCATGCTAAACTAGTGCAGCTAAAAACAGTAGGGAACTGTTGATCTTTTGGAAATCAGTCAGACTGTTTCTGTCTGTCTTGTAATCAACAGTGTACTGTTTGACATCTGAGAACCACAAAGCCTCTGCTTGACCCCAGTTTTATTTACTGCTCTCTCTCTCTCTCTCTCCTCTTCTCTCGTCATCTCTCTCTCTCTCTTTTTATGTCTCTTGCCCAGACCTCCATGTCTCTGTTTAAGACTGATGAGTTTTCAGTAAAAAGGCGTTTCAGTGATTTTCTGGGTCTGCACAGTAAACTGGCCTCCAAGTACCTGCACATAGGCTACATCGTCCCCCCTGCACCGGAGAAAAGCATTGTGGGTAAGTAAAGTTACACTCTCCCTCTGCTGTTCCCCTGGATGTAACTTGTAAGGGTTATTCAGATACTCCCCAGGGGTCACGCATAAAACACACTTTTGTTAACTTCTATAGTCTTTACTGTTGTAGCAGACAAACAACAGTAAATAATCACAAATATAACAACGTCAATGTGCACCTGATTGTGACTCTTCATCCTGGTTTAAATAAGTTCTCTGAACGAGTGTCTCCTCGTCTGCAGGGATGACCAAGGTAAAGGTGGGGAAGGAGGACCAGTCGTCCAACGAGTTTGTGGAGAAGAGGAGGTCGGCGCTCGAGAGGTACGATAAGAAGACAATAAAATATACACAAAATGTGGCAGCTGCTCATTCTGTAGGATTTAGAGAGAGTTTGATATAATATTGTTTTTATTCTATAAGACTGTTGTCTGGGATTTTCATTGTCATAATGATCAAACTGAGATTCGCATTTGGTTCATGGTTTTTCATGTTCATGTTTCTGGCCTTTAAAAAAAGAGAAATAAAGGAAAAAAGAAGGGAAAGAAAATTACCTAAATATAAAAATGGTAATAAAAAGCTATAAAAGTTACAAAACTTTATAATAGTCTGTGTTCCTGCCATAGTGCATAGGCCTTTTTCACATCAGGCATTTTGACTTACCTGAAATGGAATTCAGCCGTCATTAATTTTATTATTTACACCTGTTATTTTTCCTAATGTGACTTGTTAAAATTGTTGGTTTCATCA